ATGTATTTTGTTGGTGTGTTTACGTTTACGTATTCCCATTGTGGGTGTTTTACGCATACATCAGATTTTTGGGTTCCTCACATATGGTATCAGAGGTGTGGGTCACTCTCAATCGAACAATAACGGGGATCGTTTCAATTATGACAGCTTGCAGATAGAAACATTGCATGATCGTATACTAATAATGACAGAATTAGTACCCCAGTGGAGGGCATCCCCCACCCGGCGCTTCTTACCGGTACTGTGAGACTTACAAATCCAGACCTCTCCTCCTCCTGAACCGTTCACAATACCCTGTGGTAGTACCATAATCATCTCAATAAAGCGATCACTTTCCAATGCCCATTTTGATCTCGGGAGTTACCCGGGTGGTGTCACACTGTACTCATTGTTTTAGCATGTCGCAAATTCCGATATGGCTTGTGCAATGGCCAGAGAGTGACAGCGGCGGGGGCCGGGCTGCAACCTTTGTAGACAGTTTATAACATTACAAAGTGCATGGGATTGGCACTCCAAGACATCATAAATGTACAGTAACGCCAATTACACAACCGAAGTAGACAGCAAGCCGTCCATGGAGACGTGATCAACGTCAATACATAATAATGGTAATAAGCCGGATAAACCGAAAAGTACCCATTGTACCCATCAAACAGTCAGCTGGGTTGCCCCATGGGGGTATTGACCCATGGGCGAAACTGTAGTGGGCGCTACGCAACTTGCCGTCGTCCCGGCAGGTGAAGCTGACAGCTCAGTCCGCTAAGACTTACTGTATAGCGACCCCTGCCTACTCGTAAGGTAAAGTTGTTTGGGGACTCCACTAATCGCAGCACGCAACACCCATTTTTTACATAAATATACGTAATATTAGCGTAACTACCATTCGCACACTTGCATACACACCACACTCGCACAGCGCAGGGTCTGCGCCCACAGTGCACTTCAGCACTGCGGCACAGACCTTGCCAAACCTATGCTATCGCTCTCTTCCGGGCGTGTTATTTATTTTTATCGAATCAAAGTGAGCTGTGGCTTTTTGCCGGCTGTTTTATTTTCATCGAATCAGAGCGAGCTGTTTGGGCGGGTCCGTAAATAAATTAACGTCCAGATACGCACGCAGACGACCAAACCAGCGTAGTTGTTTAAGATTTTGCGTTGCGACCATCACTGTGAATATGGTGTTGCGTGAAAGTAGGTGCAATTGTTGGCCGAAGAGACGCTGTTGTGCGGCAGGTTTATTTATTTATATTTGTCGAATGAAAGTGAGCTGTGGCTTTTTGCCGGCTGTTTTATTATTTTTTATCGACGAATCAGAGCTAGCTGTTTGGGCGGGTCCGTAAATAAATTAACGTCCAGATACGCACGCAGACGACCAAACCAGCGTAGTTGTTTAAGATGGGTGGCCTTCCTGTAAACACAATGTCCCAAGGATCCATCAGGTCTCCTCTCAAACAGAACATCCAAGAATGGTAGTTTGCCATCTTTCTCCACTTCCATGGTGAATTTGATGAATGGGTGTCTGGAATTGATGTGGTCCAGAAAATGGTTCAATGCTGGGAGGCCATGTGGCCAAATGACGAAAGTGTCATCCACATATATCTTCCACAGGGAAGGACGCAGGGTGGACGTCTGGATAGCATCTGATTCAAACTTTTCCATTAACACATTGGCTATCACTGGTGACAAGGGGGAGCCCATGGGGGTACCCTCATTCTGTTTGTAGAAGGTGCCATTCCAGGTAAAGTAAGTCTTGGTGAGGCAATGCCTAACCAGCGCAGGTACATCCGAGTTCAGTCCATGTTGGACCAAGTCTTCGATTATTGTTAAGGTGTCCAGAACTGGGACTTTGGTAAACAGAGATACCACATCAAAACTGACGAGGATATCGTCAGGAGACAGTACCATGTCCTTGACCATAGAGACCAATTGGGTTGAGTTAAGTACTGCTGTCGAGGTCTTGCCAGTGAAGGGGAGCAGAGTATCTGATAGTAAACGGGCCAGTTTGTAGGTAGGAGAGTTGATTGTACACTATGGGTCGTAGTGGGGAGCCTTCTTTATAGATCTTGGGAAGACCATAGAATCTTGGAGGTCTTGCAGCCGAGGGTTTTAAGGAGGGACGTTTGGTTGGTTCGATTAGGGACGTCGAACTCGTGATGATCTTGTTGGTCTTTGTCGTTAGGCTGTTAGTCGGATCCTATTGATGATCTTGTTGGTCTTTGTCGTTAGGCTGTTAGTAGGATCCTACTAACAGCCTAACGACAAAAACCAACAAGATCGAACCAACCAAACGTCTTTTACGAGGATTCATGTCTGCATTTACCACAATACTTGCAGTCAAATGCAAACAAAACACACTATGATAATATATGCATTTTTCGATTTAAAGCTTTCGTGACTGCAGGGATTCATCTTGGTTTTTTTGGTAAAGTCACGTAGAAGGGAAGTAATAAAATAATAAAAATAAAACATAATAAAATAATTCTCACGACGTTTCGGCTACCACGCAAGCAGCCTTCTTCAGGTAAAGAATGAGACACTGCCAAGCTAGGAGCTTATATATAAGCTGAGTTGGGGGTGTAAGAAGAGCGCCTTAACAAAAGAATGTGCATATCAAGAGGAATTTTGCATATTCATGGGAAATGCGTAGGAGGTGGGCGGGGGGGGTTTCAAAGTCATATTATGCCCATGCATTATGCAGGATCAGCAGCACCAAAGGGAGGGGGCAGGGGGTAGCATTAACAAAGGGAGGGAATGTTAATAGTATGTAGAAGCAATGAAACATGTGAATGGGAGAGCGGTGGCAGGATACCCGCAGCGGAGCAAATAATGCATTCCCTGTGGAGAACACAAGATACACAGTTAATGCCAGTGAGTGGACTGCGGTCTGAAAGTCACCGTAAACATGAACAACAATCAGTTAAGATCCGAAATGGTGTATTACGTCCTTCCAATGATTGCTGAGCCAGAATCCATCTTCTCGGTTGAAATTGTCTCTGTGTTTGTATATGTGGATCGCCTCATGAACGAATCTCTCATGGTAGCCAGATGGCTTGCAGAGAACCTCTGTCTTGGAGAAGTCAATGTCCTGTGAGCCCACTGAATTGTAACAGTGATCTGCCACGGCTGATGTGTTTGTCCTACCGTGTTTCAGGTCTGCTTTATGTTCATGGATGCGGTCCGAGACATGTCGTTTGGTTTCTCCAATGTAACTGCTACCACAGAGGCAACTTAGTTTGTAGACGCCAGGGTACTGTATGTCTGGAACCACGTCTTTTACAGACGGGACCAGATCACGGATTTTTGTACTGTGTTGAATCGGACCTGAATCTTGTGTTTAATCAGGATTTTGGAGATCTTTTTTGTGACCCCAGCAATGTAGGGTAAGGTGATGGTTTTGAAAGGCTCCTCAACAGGATCCTTCTTGATGGTTGGAGTGATGGCTTTATGGATTGTGTAGTCGGAGTAACCATTAGTCTTAAGAGCTTGGCATACGTGTTTGAGTTCACTGGCAATGTCTTCCTGGTCGGAGATGCATTGGGCTCTATGGTATAGAGTCTTGATGAGGGAGTTCCTCTGGGATGGATGGTGGTGGGAATCCGGTTTTAGGTATTACTTCCCTTCTACGTGACTTTACCGAAAAAACCAAGAATATATATGCATTGTCCTTGAAACTGATTGGTCCACACCAAGGGACGGCTTTTTTTGAGCCTCGACCCAATTGGTGCTCCACCAGAGGACGCCAATTGGTGCTCGACCAGAGGACGCCAAAAGGCGTACAGCTCACACATTATCATAGTGTGTTTTTGCGGTTGGCGGTTGTGAGGGGTCCTACGATCCCTCGCAAACACTCCCAATGGCTGGGGGGGCTACGGACGTACTGGCCTGCAACGGCAGACATGCAGACCTCGGTGAGGGACTCTGGGGTCACCCGCGTCCCTCACGGAGGTCCGCACCTCGGCTGAGAAACGTATATAAGGCAGACCTCTGGAGAGGTCCTGGCAGTTTAAGACGACCAGTTGGAGCAAGAAGACCTGCTAGAATAGGACCCTGGACCCCTAGCTTCACCGTCTTTTTAAGGGCTGAAGCTCTGTGAGGCCAGTGGTGGACCCTGGGTCTCCCATAGGATATTATAGCCAGAGGACCTGGAGCACAGCCGGGGCATGCATGTTACGTAGGAGGCGTATAATATACAGAGTGGAAGTACTCGAGATAAACTGTACGAGGAGTTATGTTTAGTAGTTAGGGCGCGTGTATATAATAAAGACGTGCCCCCAACAAAGTGTCTCCGGAGAAAACACGACACAGAAATGAATCCTCGTAAGGTTTCAGTTTTGTTGCCAGAAAAAAGGGGAAAACTCCTATTATTAACTCCTATCATTTTTCATTGCTGGAGGGTTTGCCCCCCTCCCTACCTTAAAATACTGACTCCGCCCCTGAGTGTGTGACAGTGTCAAGTTTGTATTTGCAGTAAAGTCTTTTAATTCTATTGAGCACGGAGGTTATATCAAAACGGTAGTTTATTTTTGTTTTCCTCTGGAAGTCTTTGTAAGATTGGAGTCAGGAAGTTATCACAGCACACGTGCAGCTGAAGTCGGAACTTCATACCAGCATTCAAGGACATCTGTGCCTTGCTTCACACCTCTAAGTTGCAATTGAACATTAATTTATGCATTTGTGCATAACACAAATAGTATTTTTTTCAACACCCTTTGCTATGTCAGCTGAATTTAGCTTTCATAAATAGTCATTTTGAAGCCAGACAGCCGAAATCGTGTGCTCGGAGTTTTGGGTTAACATTCATTTTGAAGATACTAGGGCTTCCAGGCATGTTTATAACCATTTGCCCTCTCATTGTGTGCAATAACAGCCCGTGTGATGAATTTGGGACACTTTTTCACTATCATGAATATATGTATAAGTATAGACGTGTAAGTCACGTGTGACTATATATGCATTGATACTGATGTGTAGATGGTGTGGATATATTTTTCTGTCTGCAGCTGTCGCTTCCTCTGCAGAATTGGTCTGATGGAGCAAAGGCACTCGGCGCGGCTCGGTGCAAAAAGGCAACAATGCGACCTGCGTGCCAACAGCACAGATCGTACTGAACATTTGACACAGCACCAGAGAACTCAAACAGCAGAGAAACCCGTCAAGTGCAGTGTGTGTGGGAAAACGTTTGCACAGTCATCTACTCTTGTAAAACACCAGAGAACACACACAGGAGAGAAACCCTTCAAGTGCAGTGTGTGTGGGAAGGCATTTTCACAGTCAGCTACTCTTGTAGCACACCAGAGAATACACACAGGAGAAAAACCCTTCAAGTGCAGTGTGTGTGGGACGGCGTTTGCACAGTTATCTGCTCTTGTAAATCACCAGAGAACACACACGGGAGAGAAACCCTTCAAGTGCGGCGTGTGTGGGAAGGCGTTTGCACTTTCATCTACTCTTGTAGAACACCAGAGAACACACACGGGAGAGAAACCCTTCAAGTGCAGTGTGTGTGGGAAGGCGTTTGCACAGTCATCTACTCTTTTAAAACACCAGAGAACCCACACGGGAGATAAACCCTTCAAGTGCAGTGTGTGTAGGAAGGCGTTTGCACAGTCATCTGCTCTTGTAATACACCAGATAACCCACACGGGAGATAAACCCTTCAAGTGCAGTGTGTGTGGGAAGGCGTTTGCACAGTCATCTGCTCTTGTAATACACCAGATAACCCACACGGGAGATAAACCCTTCAAGTGCAGTGTGTGTGGGAAGGCGTTTGCAAAGTCATCTCCTCTTGTTATACACCAGAGAACACACACGGGAGAGAAACCCTTCAAGTGCAGAGTGTGTGAGAAGGCGTTTGCACGGTCATCTACTCGTGAAGCACACCAGACAACACACACGGGAGAGAAACCCTTCAAGTGCAGTGTGTGTGGGAATGCGTTTGCACGGTCATCTGTTCTTGTAATACACCAGAGAACCCACACGGGAGATAAACCCTTCAAGTGCGGTGTGTGTGGGAAGGCGTTTGCACATTCATCTACTCTTGCAGAACACCAGAGAACACACACAGGAGAGAAACCCTTCAAGTGCAGTGTGTGTGGGAAGGCGTTTGCACAGTCATCTGCTCTTGTAAAACACCAGAGAACACACACGGGAGAGAAACCCTTCAAGTGTGGTGTGTGTGAGAAGGCGTTTACACGGTCATCTACTCTTGTAGAACACCAGAGAACACACACGGGAGAGAAACCCTTCAAGTGCAGTGTGTGTGGGAAGGTGTTTACACTTTCACCAAATTTTCAAAGACACCAGAGAACACACAAGCATCACAATATCCACAAGGAGTGGAGTCTGAAATCAGCTTGTGAAAGTCAAAGTGATGCAATGAGTGTATCCCTCATGAAACAAGAACCGGAAGAAAATCCCAGCTTGGATACTTTGAAAGATATCGAGGTGAAACGTGAAGATGTGAAGGTGAAATGTGAAGAAGTGATGGTGAAGAGCGAAGAAGTGAAGGTAAAATGTGAAGATGAAGATTCAACTCCAAAATCGGACCTTCACATCGATGGAGGCAACGTGAAGCAGGAGGATAATTCTCACTGTGAGACAGAGCGAGGCAACTCCCAGCAGTTTGTGGAAGTGGAGGTGTGGGTTGACTTCCTCCGCGACAATAGAAAGTCAAATGGAGACCCGGGAGATGTGTAAGCTTGAGACGATGTCGCTCCAATAGACGCACCTTTGTCACAGGCCTTTAATGACAAGAATGTGAAGTTGAACACTCGGTTCTTAGGTTCAACCTGCAGGGTAAGAGCGGCCAGTCTTTGTGGACCTGTGTGTTGGGTAGATTTCTAACCAGGAGCGAGAGCCAATAAGCTCCCAAGCATTCACTGTTATAAATTGCATTCATATGGTGCATACTTAATCGCCTCGGCAACTCGGAGTTTTGTATCGTATCTCGTTTCAAACACTCGAAGAGCACCCTCAAGTAGCAGCTGCCCCTGTGTGGCACAAGGTGGTGGCCCTGCACTGGCCTGCATGTAGACAAGAGCCTGTCAGTAGAGGGCGATGGTTGATGTGGCACCTTGGTTGTGGAGTTTGTAGGTAATGTTTGGAATTTGCTAAATTTTGACCCAGACACCAGCATTCGTTTTGAATGGCGCAATAGTATTAGTTAAAATGATTGTCAATAATTTAGAATGATTACTTGTCTGATGGTGTGCGCACATGTAACATTTTGTCTATAAGGGTCAAACATTGAATAAGTGATGTTAGGACAAAGTTTGTGTTTTGCAAGTAACCTGTACAGATCACTCGGGTGAGACTCATTGTTCTTGTGATACAGGTCAAAGGGTACTTTTGTGTTTTCAGGAAGCGTCTGCCTCTGGAGCAACTCATTGTCTTTTAAATAGTGAGCACGCTCGGATCATTAATCAGTTACAAGGCATACCAATTAAAAGTTACACGAAAAGGAGGAACATTCTCTACAACACGAATTATAATTTTGTATTATGTGTTGAATTAGGACGAGAAATGGTCCTTGCTGATTGTAAAGTGACGAAAAAAATTTCACACGAGCGACGCATCCACGCAAGCTCCCGATGCTCCGTTTTGAAGTTTGAAAATGAAACAACTTTGAATTGTATTATGTTTTGAATTACATAAATGTACTTCTTCATTAAAAGCTTATTCATTGAAAACGATATTTCGTGTGAATTTTCTCTCGTCGTGAAGTAGATGGCCTTGCTGGGGGTTCAGTTTGATGCGGACTTTCACCTGTTTGGGATCGCGGGATCGAGATGAGGCGACACAGAGCTGGCCGTGCAATAAGACCGCCGTCTGCAGATCGATTCCAACGCGATCGAACGTCTGTCCCTGCCCCTCCGTCGTTCATGCAGGGGGCACGTAGGTTTGCAGCGCCCCCTGCATGAAAGCGACGGAACGTGCAGCGTTCGTCACGAAGTTGTGCGTAAGCGCCATAACAAGGCGCTGTAAGCTGACCTGCCACCACGTGCACTGGTAAACAGGGAGCAGGCGAGAGAGAGCGAGGTGTGTAGGGGTCGACCAAAGGTTAAACCCCCGGCCCCCCACCGTGACCGGAGACTAACACCCCTGACCTCCCACTCATCCCTAAGGCCCATTAAGATCCTTCAGAAGGTTCTGGGACGGGGGGGGGGGGGGGGTCAGGAGGGGAGGGGTGATCTCGACCTGGGGATAAAAGGCCGGCCCTCTGGACGGACCGGGCAGTGTTCACCAACTCAAGCCTGAGGACATCCGAAGACCTGAAGACTGGAACAGTACCCGGGGACCCTCAACCGAGGCTCTTGTTAGAGCCGGGTTGTAGCGGACCCGAGGTGAGCTCAGACACTCTGGGACCTTCCCCCAGCTCTAGCCAGAGCCGGGTTGTAGCGGACCAGAGGTGAGCTCTAGTACCCTGGCTGGGACGGGTCGTCCAGTCTTCCCTTAACGCCGGGCTAAGGGACCCGTGGGTGGCAGAGCCCGGAGTGTGCAGGCTGCGATAGAAACGAGGCTGTCACTCCCGTAGGCTATCGGTTGGAAGGGGTCGTACCCCTTCGTGTTTCAGTCGTGTGTAGAGCCGAGTTCGAAAGAGTTATAATAAACGTGTTGCCTCAACCAGACGTCCCCGTGTGGTTAGTTAAGGACACAACACTTATATAAAAGAGTATAGCCAGTGGGTTTTCAAAGTACCTTCGTTTTACAGAAATCAATTTCGCGTGAGCCCACCGCATTGAAACAATGCTCAGCTGAGCGAGGCGAGCCCCGGGAGGGGGGGGGGGCTCACCTCATCTTTGTCACGTGCCGTAGCTCACGTGACATCTGCCGCGACAATGTCTGGATGTTTTCGCCTGAGAACGATCGCTCGTGTTGCGATCGAAACGTCGTGATTTATTTATTATTATTTTATTTGTTCTACCTACGTGACTTTACTGAAAGAACCAAAGAGGATGAAAGACGTCTTGTCTGCTGATCTTGTTCATATCCGTGTACATCGATATCCCACATTGCTTACACGTTCACACCACACACAATGAAATAAATAGAAACTAGAACGACTTCTGGGGATGCGCAAATATCGAGGAAACTTTCAATGGAGCGAGTTCAGTTAGTTCGATTCAACATCCTTCTGCCCGTCTGTGTCTCTGTTCGCCTCTGTGTGTTTCTCTCTGCATGTGTCTATGTCGTCTCTGTGTTCCTCTTGTCTGTGTCTGTCCACTTGTCTTGTCTGTGTGTGTTTGTCTATCAGCGTCTGTCCAACCGGAGTCAACGACTGTCAGTAGCAGCAGGCTCCCGTTCAACTCCCACTGCTACACGCCACTCAAACTTGCTCCCAACACACAAAGACAAACATCTCCCGTGTAGACTGGACAGAATGTCAGGGCAAGTGCTGTTAGCGAGCACCTAACACAAACACAAAGATCCCCCGTATAGCCTGCACAGAATGTTGGGGCAAGTGCTGTTAGTGAGCATCTAAGACAAAGACCCCCCATATAGCCTGGACAGACTGTAGGGACAAGTGCTGTTAGCGAGCACCTAACACAAACAGAAAGATCCCCCATATAGCCTTAACAGTTTCATTTCATTTTCATGTGTTTGGTATAGCCCTGTGAGCCATTCGGCTCTTGAATCGGGTGCAACCGCAACAAATAAAAAACATGAACTAGAAAACATCTCAAAGTGACTATGCGCAAACAGAAAAATCCATGGAAAAACTGCAAAGTCTTCCAGAAAAAAGCACCGTACACCAACGCTGTGCAAAAATCCCAGTGGGATGCCAGTCAAACAACAACAACAACAACCACAAGACAACTTAGATTAAAGCCATCATTCTAACTCCGTACTACAACAAACATGGCTAAACCAAAAATATTTTTGAAATCACCAAAATAAAGCCATAAGCAATGTAACAGTGATCATAGGAACTGTGACCGAAATTTCACAATAAACGACAAAAAACATGTTCCACCAAATTTCTATTTAAAGCTTTCGTGACTGCAGGGATTCATCTTCTTGGTTTTTTCGGTAAAGTCACGTAGAATGGAAATAATAAAAGAATAAAAATAATAAAATAATTCTCACGACGTTTCGGCCACAACGCAAGCAGCCGTCCTCAGGCGAAGAACAGGTCTGTCAGAAAGACAGCGTCTGAATGAACACCACCAGGCTTGGCAGCGTATATTTAAGCTGGGTTGGAGGGGGAAGAGCGCCTTGACAAAGGAATTCGCATATCAAGAGGGATTTAGCATATTCATGGTAAATGCAGGTATGTGATTAGTACTACTTATGCCCGTGCATTATGCAGGATTATCAGCATCAAAGGGAGGGGATATGAGAAATGCAGGTATGTGATTAGTACTACTTATGCCCGTGCTTTATGCAGGACCAGCATCATCAAAGGGAGGGGATGGGGGTAGCATTAACAAAGGGAAGGAATGTTAATAGTATGTAGCTGCAGTTAATAAACAACCACGTAAAAAACTAAAGTATAAACGACATAGTATCATCAGTATACTAAATATACTCTCCAATAAGCTGAGCTACTAAAAGTAAGTAATACATTACAATTCTACGTCGCAAAAATATAATATGCTTCCAGCTAAACTTTTTTCTCTTACATCACACGGGTCTACCCCGTACTATATACTACCATAGACAAACTCAACATTAAATTATATACTGTATTACTATACACCACTCTATACCTTCGACTATAATATTACCCTAAGTATTATTCTACCCACTGCTGTATATTCACTATACATTTACGATACTGTATATTACCTTATACATTGTATTAAACATTACAATTTTATACTATTTATACAATCTGCTATACTCTATACCATTGACCGTCGCGTGAAAGATACTAAGAGGAAGCAACGAAATATGTCAATGCCAGTGAGTGGACTGCGGTCTTTTTTACGTGGTTGTTTAGTAACTGCAGCTACATACTATTAACATTCCATCCCTTTGTTAATGCTACCCCCATCCCCTCCCTTTGATGCTGCTGGTCCTGCATAATGCACGGACATAATATGACTTTGAAACCCCCCGCCCACCTCCTACGCATTTACCATATGTATGCTTAAATCCTCTTGATATGCAAATTATTTTGTCAAGGTGCTCTTCTTCCAACCTCCCCCCCTCCAACCCAGCTTAAATATACGCTCCAAGCTTGGTGGTGTTTCGTTCTTCACCTGAGGACGGCTGCTTGCGTTGTGGCTGAATTTTAATTATGTTTTATTTTTATTATTTTATTACTTCCCTTCTACGTGACTTTACCAAAAGAACCAAGAAGATAAATCCCTGCAGTCACGAAAGCTTTAAATCGAAATTTAATGCGATTCTTGCCCTGTACCCCCCACAGTTCACATATCCGACCCCTGGATCGATTTAACAGATAATTTACATACATCTTAAACAACTACGCTGGTTTGGTCGTCTGCGTGCGTATCTGGACGTTAATTTATTTACGGGCCCGCCCAAACAGCTCGCTCTGATTCGATGAAAATAAAACAGTCGGCAAAAAGCCACAGCTCACTTTGATTCGATAAAAATAAATAATTAACACGCCCGGAAGAGAGCGATAGCATAGGTTTGGCAAGGTCTGCGCTGCAGTGCTGCAGTGCACTGTGGGCGCAGACCCTGCGCTGTGAGTGTGGTGTGTATGCAAGTGTGCGAATGGTAGTTACGCTAATATTACGCTTATTTATGTAAAAAATGGGTGCTGCGTGCTGCGATTAGTGGAGTCCCCAAACAACTTTACCTTACGAGTAGGCAGGGGTCGCTATACAGTAAGTCTTAGCGGACTGAGCTGGCAGCTTCACCTGCCGGGACCACGGCCAGTTGCGTAGCGCCCCCCTACAGTTTCGCCCATGGGTCAGTACCCTCATGGGGCAACCCAGCTGACTGTTTGATGGGTACAATGGGTACTTTTCGGTTTATCCGGCTTATTACCATTATTATGTATTGACGTTGATCACGTCTCCATGGACGGCTTGCTGTCTACTTCGGTTGTGTAATTCAGATGTTGTGCATGCTGCTGCTGGTAAGGGCATGTGTTGCATAATATGCAGCATGTGTCCGCGTATCATGTTTGGCACAGATGCAGTTGGCGTTACTGTACATTTATCATGTTTTGGAGTGCCAATCCCATGCACTTTGAAATTTAATAAACTGTCAAAAAAGGTTGCAGCCCGGCCCCCGCTGCTGTCACTCTCTGGCCGTTGCACAAGCCATATCGGAATTTGCGACATGCTAAAACAATCAGTACAGTGTGACACCACCCGGGTAACTCCCGGGATGAAAATGGCCATTGGAAAGTGATCGCTTTATTGAGATGATTATGGTACTACCACAGGGTATTGTCAACGGTTCAGGAGGAGGAGAGGTCTGGATTTGTAAGTCTCACAGTACCGGTAAGAAGCGCCGGGTGGGGGATGCCCTCCACTGGGGTACAAATTCTGTCATTAGTATACGATCATGCAATGTTTCTATCTGCAAGCTGTCATAACTGAAACGATCCCCGTTATTGTTCGATTGAGAAATGGAGTGACCCACACCTCTGATACCATATGTGAGGAACCCAAAAATCTGATGCATGCGTAAAACACCCACAATGGGAATACGTAAACGTAAAAACACCAACAAAATACATTTTAATATAAGAAAAAAATAGGTGGCCTCATAACGGATTTGTCTGTGTGTGTACATACAGACGGAGGATGCAGGGGATAACCTGTGTGCGATCGGAACGGTGCAATTTCTGACCAATGTCACTGTGGATGGCGCACACGCTGACGCACACCGGAGCTGTGTCTTTGCCATGCAAGGGCAAGGTGGATGGTGGAGCGCATATGGATGGTGCGTTACGAATAAAATTAAACAAAACAAACCGCTGGAAGCAGCCATGCGAGCAGGCTACCCTGAGAGCGATCGCGAATGGGTTGCGTGTCTGGAAGAAGCCTCGCTGTTTCAGATGCCGTACCAGCTTCGTCAACTCTTCGCTACCATTCTGCTGTATTCCATGCCAGCAGATACCAAGGCTCTCTGGGATAAATTCTACGACGAATTGGCTCGCGATTACGAGTACCAGTACCGCCAGCTGACCAACAAAGAAGAAATGCTAAATCCTCTTGGTTCTTTCGCTAAAGTCACGTACAAGGGAAGCAATACAATAAAAAAAATTAAACATAATAAAATAATTCTCACGACGTTTCGGCCACAACGCAAGCCGCCGTCCTCAGGTGAAAACCAGGTCTGTCGAGGCGACAGCGTCTGAATGAAACAGCACACGTGCTTGGAGCATATATATAAGCTGGGTTGGAAGGGGGGGAAAGGGCGCCTTGACAAAAGAATTTGCATATCAAGAGCAATTTAGCATATTTATGGGAATTGCAGGTATGTGATTACTACTACTTATGCCCGTGCGTTATGCAGGATTAAGAGCATCAAAGGGAGGGGATATGGGAAAAGCAGGTATGTGATTAGTACTACTTATGCCCGTGCATTATGCAGGATTAGGAGCATCAAAGGGAGGGGATATGGGAAATGCAGGTATGTGATTAGTACTACTTATACCCGTGCATTATGCAGGATTAGCAGCATCAAAGAAAATAAAAAAAATGGTAAAGTTCAAGACCCTTCACAGCCTCCACGAGTTCCTCACGGCAGGTGGGATGGCTCTGTCGGACTTTGACGACCTCCCGCAGCTTTCCGAGTACCCACACTTGGTCTTGGACTCGCTGCTTGAGAACAACCATATCTGCGAATTGGACACGAAGGACTTCCCATTTCGACTTCGGCGCAAACAGTTCCCCATTGTCCCAGCATTCGCGATGACCATCAACAAGGCGCAAGGGCAAACTGTTCACAACCTGCGATTATATCTACCAACGCCATGCTTCTCGCACGGCCAACTGTACGTGGCACCATCGCGAGTCACGGCAAGATCCAACATCAAGGCGCCTATTGAGGGACCTGACGACGAGGAGGAAGACAGAGTGTACACGAAGAATATCGTGTATCGCCAGATATTTCAATAAGTTGCTTTCTATATTTGAATAAGTTGCATTCTTTAATATTGTCGAGTGAGCGTCTCATAAAAATGCATATAACCTCACAAAAATAAACATAAAACAATCACCAAAACATGTCTATTGTGTCCAGCCACTTTCAACTCCCCACCAACAAAGCACATAGACACCGCCCGCGAAGCGGGCGGCGACTGCTAGTATGTATAGAGTGCGATTTAATACTTCTAATGAGATTAAAATATCGTACCTCCGTTTATGGTGGTATAAATTATTAAACCAGTTGATAGTTTATAGACGTTTAATGTTCAGTGTTATTGTTTATAGTGTTATCAGTTTACGTGTTTTTAAGTACAGGTGATCCCTGGTATACTTCGGTATTCTGGACTTGAACGTTGCAAAACAATTCCTAACGAAGACATTTCCCCACCAGAGCGCAAGCAGCTAATGAAAAGAACACCGGCGGCAGCACGTGCTTCCATGGTTGGTCAGGGAGAGGGCATGGTTGTATTGCCCACAGGTGCCATCGGGTATGTCCGCCCATGGCCGGTTCCGGTCGAGGTCATCGAGGTGGGTGATGTAAAGACAGTGCGTCTACTAAGCGACAAGTGGTGACAAAAGGATAGAGAGATTTCGAGAAGGGAAGGCGGGACCAAGTGTAGACGGAGGTTCATGCTGAGAATAAGAGAGGGGGAGAAACGAGGTTCGGGGCTGTGTTGGCCAGGATTCGGGTCGAGGCTGGTTGCCGTCTCGTCGTCATCGTTGCTATATTTTGACGCCTGGGTCCCAAGCCGCGTTAAAAGCTAAATAAAAGAACCCTCTGTAGTCTGAGTCTGGAGTCATTACAATTTTAAGGATTCATAATTGCACTGGCTTATATTGGGTTTGTTCGATTATTTATATATTCATACTGAATATTGCTATTTGATGCCATTGAGATGGAACATTCATCCAGCAGTGGACAGCTTAATCCTAATACCACCAAAGTGTTATTCAAATAATGTAATCCCATCCTGATCCTGCACCTTCATGTTTCACATTTCCCACCATTGGTTTGCACGTGCATATTACATACATACATGTTACATGCATACATACTACATACAGACATATCTCATGCATACATATTACATACAGACATGTTACATACTGACGAGCAAAGTGTGATTCCTAGAGGACCACGGTGTGAAGCTAAGAATTCGAATGAGATTCGATTATCACACTTCAATGTATGGTGTTCTAATCTGTAAAACTAGTTTATGATGTCTTTTTATAGCATAATATATCGCTCATAGCTTATATTGTTAAAGTTCACAACATTATAGTTTACTATAACACTAGTTTAGTGTTATTTTAAAGCGTTACAATGTATAGCTCATAGTTTAAAGGTTATATACAATGTGAGTTTAAAATCTGAGAGTTTGTGGACGTGCCCTGTTCTCGTGGGACCCGACACGGATTTGGAAATAATTGCTATGATGATATCTGAGCTGAGCGACTAATGTTTACTTTGTTTAATCATAACTGTGTGTAGGTAAGTGCCATCGGGGCTTAGTGAATACTACTCATGAATGAACTCATTCTTCTTTCGGATAGAAATTTGAAATCGTGTTGGTAGAACAAGTCGCTTTCCTTTTCTAGACGAATTGTTATCTTCAAGTGCGTCCGTAAATAAACTGCTAAAATACACAGCATAGGGAAGGCTGCCTTGTTGGGGAGATGTAGCTTGGCTATGTCGCTGTGGCCGGGTGATGACACGGATTCTGAAACAATGGAGTTAAACACTCGCTGCCTGGCCCCGTCGACAGCAGCAAAGGCTGTCATATACCGGCCCATTTACGAGTTGGCTGTATAATGTGTATAGTTGAAGGTGCTAGGTGTTGTCTTCTTCTAACAGCTACTAACGTGCGTGTGTTGTCTGTTTTTAGGATTTGTCCATTGATGTTGTTCTTTTTATTGCGGCGTTATTTTGTTGAGTTCTGTCACTTGAGTGTTACATTTGCAGAGTGCGATTATTATACAACCACACTGTGATTATAATGCTTCTAATGATATTATACCTTACTTCCGTTTATATGGTTATCAATTAAAACACTAGTTTGTAATCGTTTAATGTTTAGTTTTATCGTTTATAGTATTACAGTTTACATGTTATAGAGTACAGTTTATCCCCGACATACTTCGGGATTAGGGACTGGTACGTTGATGAACGATTAACTACGGGGCCCTTTCCCCTCAAGGAACACGTGTTAATCGGGTAGACAGCCAAGATGATGCCGGTGAAGGGGACACTTGTGTGACGGAGATCCTCCACCTGAAACTCGCTTAACATGTTTTTGCTAGGAACATTATAAAATATAGAACGGACAAACATTTGTTAAAAATACGTTTTTATTTATCTGCAATCATTTTTACGTCAAAACTCGAAGGGAATATTTATTACATTTCCAGTACAATCCAAACCATTTCCGTTCCAGGAATACCAAAGCGTTAAAGTATCATTCCCCATGATTTCCGTATTAGTTCACCACATTTGTTCACTGTGCGTCTATGTTGAAGTCAAGGCCATATATCCAACGAACGCGTCATCAATGTACATCCTGAAATCGGTTATCTAAAGTCGATTAATACCAATAAAAAAAAGCTATATACTTGAAAAAAACCCGTTTAAAATGTTGAGTAAAGATGTACCTACAGACGCATTCCAACTTTAGCTCAACAGGGACACCTAACGACTACAATTGAACCCTCTCACAACCAGTGCTCATCACACCACTTCGGCAAGTAATCCCATAACATTACAAACCACCACTGTGCACGTCATTAAACTCTCACAAAAACTGTAAAACTAAAATTACACACAAAAGTACTCGATACGGCTTAATAGGTATAACCACATGACATATATTTTTTCAGTCACCCCGAGCTCTCTGGTTGATCCTCGAGCCACTCCATTACATCCAGCCATCTCTCAGGATCCAATTGCATGGGATCGAAGGTGGAAACTTCTTCAGGACTCATTGCAACACCTTGAATTTCAGCTTTTGATTTCAGTTTCCTATCATTGTGGACCTTCTGATGCCTGTAAAGAGTTGACGACTGTGAAAATGCCTTCCCACACGCAGGGCACAGGAATGGCTTCTCGCCCGTGTGTGTTCTCTGGTGACTCTGAAGTTGTGATGACTGTGCAAATGTCTTCCCACAAACATGGCACAGGAATGGCTTCTCGCCCGTATGTGTTCTCTGATGGTCTTGAAGAGTTGACGAGTGTGCAAATGCCTTCCCACACACAGAGCACAAGAATGGCTTCTCACCCGTGTGTGTTCTCTGGTGTCTCTTAAGATATGATGGCCATGAAAATGACTTCCCACACACAGAGCAATTGAATGGCTTCTTGCATCCGTGTGCGTGGGGCTGTGGAGAGCGTCTCTGCTCCATGTGAGCGTAGTAACAGCAGCGGTGTTATCGAGTCAAAGGTACGCTATCGGCACAAGGATGTTTAGCGTTGAGTTTTGGATTTTGTTAACTGGTAAAACAAGAACGACACTCGCGTCTAACCGAGATGCAAAAAAATCCCGCTAATTTGTCGTCGAACACGTTTAAGAGTTTCTCGCGAAAATAGACACTTGGAGATTCACGGTATATCGATGTCTGTAACCCCTCTGAAGATGTCGCCACGAACTCTCCCGACGCAAAGTCGCCTAACTGTCGACAGCAATTGTGCTCGCCAGGCTGCGTTGTCTCGCGGTTGAAGGGCGATCAGCAGAGCGACGAGTCGAGCGTCCAACCTCATCAAGTTTCCTCTCGAAATGGCATTGAGCTCTGCTTCTGAGCCGCCTTATAACTCCCCCCCTAGGATCCAATCCTTTGTCTTTCAGGATATTTGCATTCGATTGTTAATTTTGGAAGGCACAATCCGCATGTCTATTAACATACCGAAGAGTAATGTGCCCATTGTGCTTCATGCATGAATATGTAAGTGCATCTCAGTGTGTAATTGTGCGCTTATTTTGAATAAATGGAAAAACTTCGTCCTAGATTTAAAGTGAATGCAGAGAAATTAGCATGTAACTTTATAAAAGTGTAATAAAGGACTCGACCCTGGTTCTGTCTCCGTGTCCTTTATTTGGGTTCGCGTTCTCTTCCCACACGGCTGTCTCACTCTCAGGCCCTCCGCTCGTCGCCGACGCTGCTGCCGCACCCGTCGCCACCAATAGCCTCTTTGCTGGTCTCCTCGTGTCGCTCCCGTAGCCCTTTTGCTCTGCAGCCCCAGGCTGCTGTAGCCCCTAGCAGCCTCGCTGCTGTTTCCCACACGCAGCCCCTCTGCTGCACTCGCTGCTCCCAGCTTTCGTCCTCCGTGGCCTCACCCTCGTCCAGTCTCCAACCAACTCTCTTCCATCCCGCTGGCTGGCGCTGTCACCGATCCCCTCAGCCACAAGGCTGAGGGCACGGCGACCACCCAACGTGGTCTCCACTCTTCCCTTACCCGACTGGCCCCGATCTCTTCCTGTCTCACCGCTATACCATCTCCCTCTCACGTGACCCTGACTCCACCCCACATGACGTCACATCCGCCAAGCCGTTTACGCCCGCATTACACCACCCTCCCCCGTAGAGAAAATTCCAGCCGTCCTCGGCTGAAACAGAACACACAACCAGGAGTCCCCCAGACACAATAGACCTTATAACAACAACAACAAGTAACAAAAGGGGAAGGATCAGGAACCGGAACAGAACAACAAGAATAATAATAGCACAAAGCACAACAACGGCCACCAACACGCAAAAATGGCACACGCGCACAACCCAGAAATGTGGTGTCTCAAAGCGTGTCCATGTTGTTGTTCCATCCGCTCGGCTCAAGTCCAACATCAAAGAGCAAGTGGTAGAGCAGAATGACGAACGGCGCTCAATTGCTCCTTCAAGTCCTCATCCAGCTAGCACACCAGGTAACACCCAGTGCGACGGGAGCTGAAGAATCTGTGACGAGAAGGAGAATCCAATCCCCTGAGGCACAGCACAACAACGCACATCCGCATGTCGTACACGACAGCCACCCGGCCTCAGGGTAGTGGAGATGATGTAAATCCGGCCCGCTTAAAAAAAAAAACCCCAATAATTACCCAAATTAACCGCGATCGATGCCCCAGTATTTACATTTTAACAACAATATTATTTACACGTGACAACAACAACAAAAAAAAATTCTGCTCTTACCCACTAGCAGTCCTCCCTTGAGGACCAGCACAGACCTCAGACGTACACAGCATGTACCCACAGTCACTCTCAACAAACCAACAAAACGCCTAATCGCACACCCTCGCGTGGAGAGAGCCACGCTCCCCAGCGGTAACGTTTAACTCGCCGTAACCCTCACCGTGGTCGTCAACCCACAGCAACATCCATTTACCATACTCTCGGCTAGTGCCATTTCGGGGATGAGCAGCACTCGGCCATGCTCCTCCCTTACTATCCCATCAGCGATGGACACACACCAGCCTCGTATAGTCTGATGCTTTATAGTCCAGGGAAGGTTCATCCCCCGGCAATGCCAGACCCCATTGACTCCCCCCACGGGGCAATGTTCTCTTATAGAGACAATAACACCCTAACCCAGATCCCGTGAGCCCCCGGCACACCAGGTTCAGTCTGCCACCGCACAACTGAACCATGACTCCCCGAGTCATATGAGCACATGGCCCATTAGTTTAAGACATACCACGGAGGTTTCGCCTCCGGGCTGTCAGGTCAGCCATCGGCCGATGTGACCACAACTCGTGCATCACCCAATCAACAATGGCAGGCATAACAGATGGAATATTTGCCCCACCGCGGTTTTTCCCGCGCGCTCAAAATGGCGGCCCCCTTCGCCCAGCGCGTTCGCGCAATATCTCGCGCGCACTCAAAATGGCGGCCCTTTCCGCAAAGCGCATCGTCGCCATACCCCGCGTGCGCGCAAAATGGCGGCCCAACGTGCGAACACGTGGCCAGTTTTCTCCATTCGTGCACCCCAGCTTCCCTTTGCTGGGGGTCACAAAATGCATCCCCCGTCTTATTGTAACAACCCCAACAACGATAGACGCACAGCCCCAGCTTGCTGCGCGCAGCAGTCATATCGGGGAATTTTTAACCAATATTTTACCAACCACATTGGTTACACAACCCAACTCGCAAAGCAACTCGTGGCTGCATGCGATCAACCGAATACGCGACGCCACTTGGCGCCCATTTACGATCCCATTAGCATTAACATCTGAGCCACCCACAACGGCGTCATCGCGCACCCTCATTTTCAAAAAGCTCAATTACCCCTATAATATACACGCAAGCTCGTGTGCACAACACCCATACAACCAAATTTTAGGGTCCCCATCTATAATATACACGTAATCTCGTGTGCACAACAACCATACAACCAAATTTTTGGGTTCCCCTCGAATTTGTTACCAATTCCCAAAGAGGTACACACAAATAATAACAATCCCCAACAGTCAACCAATGCATTGCACCCCATAACCGTACAGAACGGTGTAACAGCACATACAGTCAGCATATCGCGATCACACGCGTACATTTAAGCACAATAGCAAGCAGATCTGCAGGCAACCAACACACCATTAATCCTGTCGTAACTTTGCAGCAACAACACAACATTCTCTCTCTTGCAACAACCACATCGCACATAGCACCTCGCAGCACAAGACACCAAAAAAAAAATTTTTTTTTCCAATTAAGCCCATCGCACAAGGTAACCCACGAGATAATACAGCGCAAGATACCCGACGCTCCCGAGTTAATAATTAACTTCGCCATCAAGATAACAACTCCACGCCGCAGCGCACACACACAATTTGACACTCAGCAAATACAGCAGACTCTCCGTCCATTCTCAACACACGCACACACTTATATTGATACCAAGCAACAAGCAGATAGCGCGTTCATCGTTATTACACACACATACACACAGTCCGAACCGCGCTCCGCACAATCGAGTCATGAGAGAAAAAACACAATCGCCCCCCGGCCCTCGAAAGATGGGTGAGGTGTGTGTTAAGGCCGGGTGCGTATCGTTACGACTCGCCCGGGGCTGCAGCAAGAAGAGGACGGCAGGGTGGCAACTTGAGACGCCTCGCAGAACTCGTTCGGCGACTTGACTGCTCCGTTGTCACGCACCCGAGCCAGGACGGGAAGCTCCCGCCCCAGCAGCCGCAGCATCGTCGTCCTCTCCTCGCAGCTCGTCCTCGCGCAGCAGCTCACTGCAGGCTGCTCTCCCCGAGGCACCTCCAGATGGCAGCGCAAAGTTGCGTCACCGCCGCGATGTTGAAATGGCGGCGTCTCCCCGTCGCGGTGAAGACAAGATGGCGGCTTCCCGCCGTTTCTCCCCTGCCACGCCCAAGATGGCGTCTTCGTGCCACGTGGCAGATGGCGCTGGCAGCGCAGGAAAGGCGGAGGCTTGCGGATCACCACCGGGCCTCCCCGACGCCGTCCTCGGCGTGGTGAACTCACACAGTTGCGCCAGCACGATTTTCAAGGTCTCCATCTGCGCCGCCATCTGTCTCCATCGTAAGTTGGCGTCCTCCGGCACAGACAGGTCCACCAACGCGGCGACACCTTGCTCACCCGGACCCGTACTCGTTCCAGCACGGATCTCCTCTTCCATCGCAGGCAGGTCCACCGTCTGAGGAAGGTCGTCGTCGTCTGATGATGTAGCAGATGATGGCGCAGGAATATTCTTTTTTTTTCTTCTCTCAGTTGTTTTGAGATGCCGTTTCACTTCTGACACCAGTGTAATAAAGGACTCGACCCTGGTTCTGTCTCCGTGTCCTTTATTTGGGTTCGCGTTCTCTTCCCACAAGGCTGTCTCACTCTCAGGCCCTCCGCTCGTCGCCGACGCTGCTGCCGCACCCGTCGCCACCAATAGCCTCTTTGCTGGTCTCCTCGTGTCGCTCCCGTAGCCCTTTTGCTCTGCAGCCCCAGGCTGCTGTAGCCCCTAGCAGCCTCGCTGCTGTTTCCCACACGCAGCCCCTCTGCTGCACTCGCTGCTCCCAGCTTTCGTCCTCCGTGGCCTCACCCTCGTCCAGTCTCCAACCAACTCTCTTCCATCCCGCTGGCTGGCGCTGTCACCGATCCCCTCAGCCACAAGGCTGAGGGGACGGCGACCACCCAACGTGGTCTCCACTCTTCCCTTACCCGACTGGCCCCGATCTCTTCCTGTCTCACCGCTATACCATCTCCCTCTCACGTGACTCTGACTCCTCCCCACATGACGTCACATCCGCCAAGCCGTTTACGCCCGCATTACAAAAGGAAGAGAGCGGCCTTCTCGACGAGGGAGTGAAACCCAATGGGTAATATTCTTTTACAGCGTTACAATGGATAGGTTGTAGTTCATAGGTTATACTATTATGTTTCACTATGACAGAGCTTAACATGTGAGAGTATACAATATCAGAGTTGATCAAATGCGAGCAGGCTACCTTGAGAGCGATCGCGAATGGGTTGCGTGTCTAGAAGAAGCCTCATTCTTTCAGATGCCGTACCAGCTTTCGTCAACTCTTCGCTACGATTCTGCTGTATTCCATGCCAGCAGATACGAAGGATCTCCGGGATAAATTCTACGACGAATTGGCTCGCGATTACGAGTACCAGTACCGCGAGCTGACCAACAAAGAACAAATGGTAAAGTTCAAGACCCTTCACAGCCTCCACGAGTTCCTCACGGCAGGTGGGATGGCTCTGTCGGACTTTGACGACCTCCCGCAGCTTTCCGAGTACCCACACTTGGTCTTGGACTCACTGCTTGCGAAGAACCATATCCGCCGCGAATTGGAAGGATATGATAGAAACGAGCTACAATACATCGTAGAAGATGCTGACAGACTCAACACGAACCAGACAGAAATCTACGACGAAATTGTTGGCTCAGTCGAAGACAGTCAACCCGATCAAAAGCTGTTCTTCATCGATGGTCCGGGCGGCACGGGGAAGTCCACGCTGCTCAACCATGTGCTGGCGAAGATACGTCTTCAAGGCAAGATTGCGATTACTGTTGCTTCCAGCGGCATTGCCTCGCTGCTGCTTCCAGGCGGCCGTACCGCGCATTCCACGTTCAAGATCCCGTTGAAACCGACGAACATATCCACATGCTTCATTCGAAAACAGTCCAAGCTCAAAGCATTTATCAAGGAGGCAAGTCTTATCGTTTGGGATGAAGCCCCAATGACGCACCGGTTTGCGTCTGAAGCGGTGGATCGCACGCTTCGCGATATTTTGGACAATCTGTATGAACCGCTTGGAGGCAAAGTGGTTGTCCTGTCCGGTGACTTTCGACAGATTCTTCCAGTTGTCAAGAAAGGAACACCAGCTGATACTGTGGATGCGTGTTTCAAGTCGTCCGACCTGTGGTCCCACATCAAGCAAGTTCATCTGACTGTGAAGATGAGAGTCCAGTGTGCAGAGAACAAAGAATCAGCCGCAGAACTTGCTGCCTTTTCAGATTTTCTTTTGAAAGTCGGAGAGGGTAGGCATGAAGTTGATCCAGACCTCGGTCCGGATTGCATCAAGATTCCGCGTGCCATGGTGATCGACAATCCTCAATACGACCCAGACATCGACGGAGATGAGGACGGCAATCATCTGCCCGTTTCACTCGGGTTGAAGAGGATTGTCGATGCCATGTACAGTGCAAATGAATTGAATTACCCTACGGTGGCAACGAACGACTACTTCGCTCGCCGCACTATTCTGACGCCAACCAACGCCGCTGTGCAGCGAGTAAATGAGGATGTCGCGGATCGCCTCAGAGAAGCTCCACAAGTGTACCTGTCTACAGATTCGGTTGAGGACGACGAGAGAGCAGGGTCAGCATTCTTTGAGACAGAGGTCCTCAACTTGGTGAACATCAACGGGGTTCCCCCACACAAGTTGATCCTCAACAAAGGCATCCCAGTGATGATGATGCGCAACTTGAACCCGGACGCTGGCCTGTGCAACCGAACACGGCTTCGCATCGTGCAAATGAAGCCACCCGTCATTCGCGCGACTATCATGACATGAACCCATAACGGTAAGGAGGTGTTGATCCCTCGGATCATCTTCATCAGCGACGACAACACGAAGGACTTCCCATTCTGACTTCGGCGCAAACAGTTCCCCATTGTCCCAGCCTTCGCAATGACCATCAACAAGGCGCAAGGGCAAACTGTTCACAACCTGGGATTATATCTACCAACGCCATGCTTCTCGCACGGCCAACTGTACGTGGCACCATCGCGAGTCACGGCAAGATCCAACATCAAGGCGCTTATTGAGAAACCTGACGACGAGGAGGAAGACGGAGTGTACACGAAGAATATCGTGTATGGCCAGATATTTCAATAAGTTGCATTCTATAATATTGTCGATTGAGCGTCTCATAAAAATGCATTTAACCTCACAAAAATAAACATAAAACATATTCTTAGGTTTTTTCGGTAAAGTCACGTAGGTAAAACATTAAAATTAATAAAAGTAAAATAAAATAAAAATCACCATGTTTCGGAGGCAACACAAGCTTCCGTCTTTAGGTGGAACCGTCACAGCCACGACAGCTGTATCAAGTAAATGAGAGATTGCAAGAGCTACCACTCCGTATATATAATGGTTGGAGAGGGGGGAAGGGCCAAGTACGGCACACTTTTTATTCATATGGTAAGGTGAGGCTTAAGAGGGTGAACCTTTGTTATGGAGAGGTACAGTTTGTGACTAAACCTGTAATAGTTGTCTGTCAAATAAGATTGGCCAAATAAGTGTAGTTGCATGGTTAATCACATCTTCTTCTTGGTTCTTTCGGTAAAGTCACGTAGAAGGGAAGTAATAAAATAATAAAAATAAAACATAATAAAACAATTCTCACGACGTTTCGGCCACAACGCAAGCAGCCGTCCTCAGGTGAAAACCAGGTCCGTCGAGGCGACAGAGTCTGAATGAAACAGCACACGAGCTTGGAGCATATATATAAGCTGGGCGCATTGACAAAGGAATTTGCATATCAAAATGAATTTAGCATATTTATGGGAAATGCAGGAATGTGATTAGTACTGCATATGCATGTGCATTATGCAGGATTAACAGCATCAAAGGGAGCTGCAGTTACTGCTGCTGCAGCAGTTGCTGCTGCTGCTGCAGTTTCTGCTGCTGCTGCAGTTGCTGCTGCTGCTGCAGTTGCTGCTGCTGCTGCAGTTGCTGCTGCTGCTGCAGCAGTAACTGCAGCTCCCTTTGATGCTGTTAATCCTGCATAATGCACATGCATATGCAGTACTAATCACATTCCTGCATTTCCCATAAATATGCTAAATTCCTTTTGATATGCAAATTCCTTTGTCAATGCGCCCAGCTTATATATATGCTCCAAGCTCGTGTGCTGTTTCATTCAGACTCTGTCGCCTCGACGGACCTGGTTTTCACCTGAGGACGGCTGCTTGCGTTGTGGCCGAAACGTCGTGAGAATTGTTTTATTATGTTTTATTTTTATTATTTTATTACTTCCCTTCTACGTGACTTTACCGAAAGAACCAAGAAGATGAATCCCTGCAGTCACGAAAGCTTTAAATCGAAATTTAATCACATCTTTCCAATGATTACTCCGTTTGTAACCATCATCACGGTTGAAATGATGTCTGTGTTTGTATATTTGTATGGCTTCGTGTACAAACCTTTGATGGTAGCCAGGAGGTTTGCAGAGAACCTTGGTCTCAGAAAAGACAATTTCATGAGAGCCCACCGAGTTGTAGCAATGATCGGCATCGGCCGAAAAATCAGTTCTGCCGTGTTTCAGATCTGACTTGTGCTCGCGGACACGATCAGAAACATGACGTTTCGTTTCTCCAATGTAGCAATCACCACAAATGCAACTCAATTTGTAGACTCCAGGATACTGTAAGTCAGGAACGACATCCTTCACAGATGGAATCAGATCACGGATTTTATGCACTGTACTGAATCGGACTTGGATCTTATGTTTGTCTTATTTGACAGACAACTATTACAGGTTATTGATAGACAGCCAGGCTTGTTTTACCATGCTTAGTTGTTTCTTTTTTCACACTATTGTTATGTAGGCCAGGCTTAGTCACAAACCGTACCTCTCCATAACAAAGGCTCACCCTCTTAAGCCTCACCTTACCATATGAATAAAAAGTGTGCCGTACTTGGCCCTTCCCCCCTCTCCAACCATTATATATACGGAGTGGTAGCTCTTGCAATCTCTCATTTATTTGATACAGCTGTCGTGGCTGTGACGGTTCCACCTAAAGACGGAAGCTTGTGTTGCCTCCGAAACGTCGTGATTTTTATTTTATTTTACTTTTATTAATTTTAATGTTTTACCTACGTGACTTTACCGAAAAAACCTAAGAATTTGAATCCTTGCAGTCACGAAAGCTTCAAATCTAGAAACATAAAACAATCACCAAAACATGTCTATTGTGTCCAGCCACTTTCAACTCCCCACCAACCAAGCATATACACACCGCCCGCGAAGCGGGCGGCGACTGCTAGTAAATGAATTATTAGAACAAAGTGAATGCTTGGGAGCTTATTGGCTCTCGCTCCTGGTTAGAGATCTACCCAACCCACAGGTCCATAAAGTCTGGCCACTCTTACCCTGCAAGTTGAACCTAGGAATTGAGTGTTCAACTTCTTTCTTGTCATTAAAGGTCTGTGACAAAAGGTGCATCTATTGGAGCAACATCGTCTCAAGCTTACACATCTCCCGGGTCTCCATTTGACTTTGTATTGTCTCGGAGGAAGTCCACCCACACCTCCACTTCCACAAACTGCTGTGAGTTGCCTCACTCTGCCTCGCAGTCAGAATTCTCCTCCTGCTTCACGTTGCCTCCATCGATGTGAAGGTCCGATTTTGGAGTTGAATCTTTATCTTCACATTTTACCTTCACTTCTTCACTCTTCACAATCACTTCTTCACTCTTCACCATCACTTCTTCACATTTCACCTCAATACCTTTAAAAGTGTCCAAGCTGGGATTTTCTTGTTTGATGAGGGATGGGCTCATTGCGGCACTTTGACTTTCACAAGCTGATTTCAGACTCCACTCCTTGTGGATCTTCTGATGCTTGTGTGTTCTCTGGTGTCTTTGAAGATTTGGTGAAAGTGCAAACGACTTCCCGCACAGAGTGCAGCTGAAGGGTTTCTCTCCCGTGTGTGTTCTCTGGTGTAGTACAAGATTAGCTGAATGTGAAAATGCCTTCCCACACACACTGCACTTGAAGGGTTTCTCTCCCGTGTGTGTTGTCTGGTGTTTGTTAAGAGCAGATGACTGTGCAAACGCCTTCCCACACACACTGCACCTGAAGGGTTTCTCTCCCGTGTGTGTTCTCTGGTGTGCTACAAGATTAGTTGACTGTGAAAATGCCTTCCCACACACACTGCACTTGAAGGGTTTCTCTCCCGTGTGTGTTCTCTGGTGTGCTACAAGAGTAGCTAACTGTGAAAATGCCTTCCCACACACACTGCACTTGAAGGGTTTCTCTCCCGTGTGTGTTCTCTGGTGTTTAACAAGAGTAGATGACTGTGCAAATGTTTTCCCACACACACTGCACTTGACGGGTTTCTCTGCCGTGTGAGTTCTCTGGTGCTGTGTCAAATGTTCAGTACGATCTGTGCTGTTGGCACGCAGGTCGCATTGTTGCCTTTTTGCACCGAGCCGCGCCGAGTGCCTTTGCTCCATCAGACCAATTCTGCAGAGGAAGCGACAGCTGCAGACAGAAAAATA